CGAGGAAGGCGGGAAGCGACGAGGGAGGGCAGGCGCGACGGCGGGCGGGTGCTGGGCGCGGCTGCCTCTTGGTGTCTCTCACTCGGCGCGCGCGCAACGGGACGTGTCGAGACTCGAGCAGCGCAGGCGGCGTCCTCGGGCGATGGCTCGCAGCGTGTTTGGGGAGCGTCTTGAGCGTCTTCAGGGCGCGGGTGAGGGTTGTAGATGCATGCAGGGGCTCTAGCGGTCCTCGGTGTGTCGCATGAGCGGCACTGCTATGGGCTGCACGCTGAGCAGCATCGGGCGCACACGGTCGAGGGCAGTGAGGGCGTGGACGAGACGGGCAGAAGTCGGCTATAGGAATCGAGCGTGGTGTGGTGGAGGAGAGCAGCGGGCCTGGTCTGGCTGATTGGATCTGGGATACTCGACAAAAAGAGGCAGGCGCACTGGTGGATCCAGCCTATCCATCCACGAACCGCCCGGCTCGAAGCCCCCAAGCCTTCTGGAAGCTTTCGCGCCGTCACAGCCAAATGCTATACGAGCGCTCCGCTGCGTCAACGTCAGCCCTGCACCTGCGCTTGGCCTAGGGCGCGCTTTCATTTGCCTCCCAACGTGATCAAAGTGCCAACGTCGCCGCGCCCGCCCACTAGCTGTCGCTGCGTGAAGTGCGAACCCAGAGAGCCAAGCTCACTCTGAAACGCTTCCCCAGGGGCGGCCCAGTTCCCGCCTGCGCTGCACTGATTACATACAGCACGCCCGCCCCAGCCAACTCAACCTGCTACTCGCTGTGCGCTGGCATCGCACGCCCGTCTCAATGGCTGCAGCATGCATCGCACGCACCCCGCTGTTGCCACACAGCGTCGTCATCTGCCCGAGCAACCCCATCACGGCCCCATGCAGAAATATTCTGGAAACCGAAAGTGGCGACTCACTGTCACGCCCTGCTGCTACTTGCCGATGCCTCGGGCACGCTATCCACGTAAGCAGCCTGGTCCGTGACCACCTCGCAGCCTTGCTCGCTCCATACACTGGATTCAGCAAGGAGCTGCCTTGACCCTGCCGAACAAACACACGATAAGGCCGCGAGGCTGCTGATCTAATTCTTGGTCAGCGGAATCCGGGGTCGTCACCCACACGGCAGTGGCCTGCAAGTACATGACAAGTACTGACAAGCTCTGCCTGCACGACTCAGTCCGATCCCGGCGCAACTCTGATAGGCAGCTAACCTCCACAAATAGGACGGTTCTTTATAGGCTGCGGGCGTGCAGATGACTGCAAGCGGCGCCTTCGTCTGTGTTGGTACATCGCACGACCCTGCAAACACACGGCACGCATAGTACTACAAAGACCGTTCGCCATTGAGATCCACCAACGGCCCTTTAAGCCACAGACTACGGTCGACTATGTTTGAGATAGGAGAACCAACCCATTCAGCTGACATGCCACCAGGCGCCGGTTGCGCGTTGGACATGTTGACGTCCAATCGAACAATTCTGAGTCAGTTACATGTACCAAACACATGGTTCACTATTCTGCCATGGCGCCGTCCATCTCGTCTACATCTTACACTGCACTCATACAGAGGCAAGGTGTGAATTGCGATCGTCACAGGTGCATCGTGAAGCTCCCAGCTTCCTTCCCACAAAGGCTCACCAAATAGGAATCTACCTGGGCATGGCTTTCGTGGTGAGTGCACGATGCCACGAGTATGTCCTTGTGCTCACTTATCACGTGGGTCAAGACCATATGTCTAGATAGCAATCCTCTCAGTACCGAAAGACGTCTTCAAATCCATGCCAACAGTCGGGCTGATACTCGGAACTCGCGACTCTAGTAACTGAAGGACTCTTTAGTATTGGGCTGCCGAAGGTCAAGACACCAAGACATTCTCGACCCTGAACTACCGTCTATCTTCGCATAGCCATCGACATTCATTGCATTCGGTACGATTCTGATGCCATTGTCACAGATAGGGAGGCGCAGTTATGTTGACCTCTCTGTTCGGGCCGCAGTTCGTCCGGCGTTCATGTGGGGAGCACTGGATTGCCGAGATATTCGGACTCCAGTGTGTCTTACCTCAGCGGGTAAGTTGGGGGTTCTGAAGGATGATGCAACGTCGATCGGACAGGGAGAGTCATTTGGATAGCTCACTTGATGATAGATTAGGTATTTCGTTTCACACATTAACAACATATTCGTAGTCCTTCCTCAACGGCACAATGACACCCTGGTAGAACCTCTCCCTAAAGTCATCATCATCCAGACTAAATACCGATGCCTCAAAATTGCAATGTATGCACCTTTGCGTCGCGTCCGCATAGTTTGTCAACTCCCGCGCACGCAGTCCTTCCGCCAACCGAACTGCTATGAGATAATCGGTGAAAGCTGTGCGATTACCAGCCGCGTCGAAGTCATCTACAGTGACATATGTATGCAGCGGCTTGCCATACGATATTTCTAGTAGCGCGACGCCAAGTGCGAAGATGATGCTGTTCTTGATGATAGCTACTCTTTGGCTTTGGGTTTTCGGTATGGCTGTAGCAGGAAACTCCCGAGATATGTAGGGTTGATCGGACAGTACTGATTGACTGAGGATGCAGATGTCGCTCAGGCCCCAGGTCTCCTCCAGCCAAGAGGTGTTATGGAGGTGGTAGACAGCGGAGGCGAGTGTAAGAGCGAGTGTACACTTTTCCTTGATCTGGAAGGTGCTTCCTTGCATCGCCATTACCTGCTGTAAGCTTATTCGTTTGTCGGGCATGCTTGCGTTCGGTAAGCGTAGAGTGTGGATGTGGTGTTTTGCGAGCTTGCTCCTCATGACACCCATGCAGTCTGGACTCGGACAGCTTTGGAGCGTTGCGCATAGATCAACGATGTCTGGGGCCCTCTTGAGACACTTCCAGTGGTCGTGTACCTTGGCGTTGGAGTGTATGACGATACTGGGAATTAATGAATGGCTGTTGGGCTTTGCTGTGTCGATTATGTCAATAGCCTCGATCTCGACTGGGAGTTGCTTCCAAGGAGCTGCATGTCCCGAATGTGATGGGCCGAACGTGAAGACTAATTTAAAGGTAGAAGATTTGCCTGGTTCCTCATCTCTTTGTATGTCAAGACGCAGATTTGCTTGGTGTGTGCATTGACATATGCACCGCGACGACCAGCGCGAGTTGAAAGCGTCGTATAGCTTTTCTGCATGTTGTCGAAACTTCAGTAGATAATCCGCATCAGCTTTGCGTCTTCTTTGAAGCCGTAAGGGTTCAAGCGCAATTGCGCTTGTCGTGAGGCTGGCAAGACGATTGATGTCATCATCGATCGACGATAACAGCGCTTCATAGTGCTTGGACTTAAGCCCTCCTTTCATGCGCATCCAAGGATCGTTGAAAAACTTTTTTCGTGAGGCTGCGTCAATACCTCCTGTTGGTGTGCTCCAAGGTGGCTGTTATGTCTTAGCAAATGCTCCTCTCTCAATGCAATTTGCCCACCTGGAATTTGTCGGATAGCTGCAGCTTCCGCGCGAAAAGATTGATCTTCTTATTCAGTTGCTTGACTGAAGACTTGAATGGTAGATAGTTGCTTCCCAATCGGTTGCGTAGAGCGTCGTTGAGGTCTGGATTCTCCCAGGAAGAACTATCATGATTCTCTAGGAGTTCACATACTTGAGCATCTGAGAGCGCCAATGGGCTCAGAAGCTCTTCGCAGGCATTTCTGTAGATACAGGCCATGATTATGAACGAAGAATGAAGATATTCAAATACTTCTTCATACTTTCGCATACTCTTCATTGCAGAAAGCTGTAGTCGTGTCAGTCATGATCTGTCAGGCTACTGCGTATTTTCTCATACTCCTTCAGAGTAGTGCTCCAGAGCCACAATCACCAACGGAAGAGATCCCAAAACTACGCCAGCTACCTCGAACCCAGACATAATGGGGATCTAGCTTGCACAGTCGCCGATAAATTGGGCGGGCTGGTGCACTGAGATTTGGACAGGATGATGGTTGATGTTGGGAACCAATAATGAGCGACAGTGCAAGTGACTGACTACCGTGATATACTGGCAGATGATGTTGCGTAAGGAAGGCAGCAACGAAGGTGCGGTCTCAACAACCCTGGGACTCGTTCTCAGCCTTGCGGCTAGGCTCAATCAGCCCTAGCCGAGCCACGTGGTTTCGTGTACAATCGTACAATCACAGGTTATGACCTCAGCCTTCCCTCATCATCACCAAGTTTACCTCTCTTTCCAGTCGACAAGACTAAGCTATGCAGATATGCATGATTCTATCGCACAAGTGCACGCTCTTTGTGTTTCAATGTTTCTTACCCTCATCGGCGCACTGAGTTCGTCTCGTCACGGAGAAGATCAAGATGGAGCGCGAGATGCCTTCGACAGATACAAGCTTTGGGCCGGAAATGTCGGTGCTATGCACAGTGGTTCTAAGTCTACGATGTCTCTAGATTATCGGCTAAGAGAGGCTTCCTTTTACAGACAGCAGGTATTGGGCCGTCATCACAAGCTCATGTATGGAGACTTACCAGTCTGTTAGGTGTTGAGATTAATGAAAGATCTTCGTAGCGGTGTAAGATACGCTCCTTTCAATATGGCCTATCATTTCTAGCCCGCCTTGCTGCATACTGGACATACTCGCTAATGGGAACGCGCACGCATTAGCTAAATAAAGGTGACAACAATCGCTTCCCACAAAGTTTTGAGGAATGGCTGATAAATTGCTTCCAAGCATTAGCTGCGGCTCAAGTTGATGAAATTGCGGCTCATGATCGCTTCACTGAGAATGCTGAGCCCTCAGATACCGATGGAGACGAATCAGACCTTTCTGATTCGCCATGGGATTTCTCTTCCGACTCCGAGGCAGAACACTCAAGCAAGCAGAAGCCACCTCGACAAAAGCCACATCCGTCACTTCCTGAGCGTCAATCTCCAAAAAAGCAAGCCCTACTAGACCCCATTAATTTCACCATCGACTGTCTTTGGAGGTTACCCATTCGAAGTCCTGCTCCTATCGATCGCATGAAGAAGAAGAATATCACTGATACGACTGCTTACTTACCATTCGACATCATGTATGTCAAAGACAAATTCCCCAATCTCAACGAAACAGTTACTGCTCGTCTAGCGAAGATGATATCGAGACGTAGGCAGCTGATACAGTACCGCAAGCGCCACACTGATGCCTTACAAGAAGAAGAGATGAATGTGAATGACGATCTCAAGGTCGAACATGGTCATATACCCGTGCCTACTCAAGGGGATATAGCCAGCGAGTCGGCGCCTAGTTCAAAAGGCCCGAGTCAACGCACAGAACTCACAAAAGCGACAACGCTGAAGATCAATGCTCTAGTAGTACCAGTCCCACCGGTTATCGGACTGTATACGCCATCAGTGTCCGACTTCGAATCTTCCACCGCGTCCGAGCAGACTGCAAATGCAATCAAGATCAGGATTCCAAATCGACCAAGGACAAAGGAGGGGTGGCTATTGAGTCAGTTCATATGTCCTTACTGCTCGACCGCGCAGTTTATTACGTCTGAGCGCAAATGGAAGTAAGTACATCAAATTACCTGTTGTCAAAGTACTTGGCTTATACATACGCCTAAGAAAGCACGTCTTGTCCGATCTTCGACCACATATTTGCACATACCCAGACTGCCAACTACACGAATATCTCTTTGAAAGCCGTGATGCCTGGTTTCGTCATGAATCGCATACCCATCGCATGGAATGGTACTGCAACACAGAGTCTCATGATTCTTTTGTCGAGACGAAAGACTTCTTGAATCACATGCGCATCGCTCATTCGGAATCTATTGACGAGATACAGCTGTTGAACCTCCGTCATGGCTTTCAGCGGCCTTCAGATGCATATTCAGGGACCTGCACGTTGTGTGGCGAACAGGCGAAGAAACTGAAATCCCATCTCGCACGGCATCTTGAACAAGTGGCCTTGTTCGCCATACCCCGAACGGACTTCATGACTGCTTTGGAAGAAGACGATACGTCATCTAATGCTGCACGGCAAAGTGTACCAGTATCTTCCAGTTCAGGCGCATCGAAGGCACCTTCAGAACTGTCAAGTCGCAAGTCGGGTTCGGAGCCGTCGGACGATAGCGTCGTCAAAGGCGCGCGTGATCCATGGTCTAGTCCGCATACGCGACCCAACGAATGGCTTGAAGAGGTTGCAGTGGGCCCAAATGACAATCCGGAAGAGGAAGTAGATACTTCGTGGGACCATATCACGTCAAAGTTCAAAGATGCGCGGGCTGCAATGTACAGTGGACAAGAGGTCCGGCCCATAGTGTACAGTGAGCAGGCGCCTGAGCCCCCAAAGCGTCAGCCATCCACCTCAAAATTGACCATTTTCGAGAGACTTTTGGGTAGAAAACCAAAAGAGCAGAGTGTTTCACAGACGCTTCCGACGCTTCCGTATCAGGAGCGTAGGGGGGCGATCGACGAAGGGCGACCGGTCGACAGATTACCTCGGTCTCCTCGAGAGCGACCTGGACATATCATCACAAACCTCCTGTCACCTCTGCGCGTTCAGAGAGAACCGCAGGATGAGCAAAACCCTATGCTCATGCAAGCACAGCAACAACAGCAATCATCGATGACCGGAGCGACCCCATATTCAGCGACTATCTACCGAAGTCAAGATGTCGATCTGCAGCGCCTTACTGTTCCCCAGGTGCCTCAAGGGGCCCTACCTTACGCCAATGTTGAAAGTTCCCCATATCCTCAGATCACCGAACTACCTGGACCCGGTGGTTCCTTCATCCCGGTCAATGAAAGCTTGGATCTCAGTCAACATGATCTATTATACGAAACACGACCTGGTTTTCAACCACATGATTTTGAAATCGGTGCAATGGTACACACCCCATATCTTCTACAAGACTCAGAACGTGAGAAGGCTACTAGTACTCGGAGCATTGATCCAACGAGAAAGAGTGAATCTGGAAAAGCTACGCGAAGTCGGAGTATTGGCCCCATGGAATTACCCACGCGCGAGAAAGGCCGATCCTGGCGACAGAGATTCTCCAATGCTACTAAGAGCCGAAACAGGTCTACCAGTCCAGGTCCTTCACATGTGGCGCGGCGTACGACTTCATTGTTCAGGTCCTTTGGAGCTAAGTAACGGAGGAAGAGTCTCGGCGTTATGATGACCCTCGCCTCAAGTAGTACCGTAATGGAGCCTTACTACTCCGTATCGAGGGAACGTGACGAACGAGATGCGGTGTTGCCACAGCGAGAATGTGGACTCAAGGAGAAGCTACGGAACAGATGGAGGCACTGCGCAAAAGGAAGCGTTATTTCGATCTCTGAATATAGCGCACACTACAATCGTACAGTAATATACAACGCATCTCAACAACCAGCTACATCTATACCCCACCCTGCTGCGAAACAACCCCCTTACACCTCCCACAAATCTCCTCCTTCTCCTCCTTGACAAAGCGCCAACACCTCGGGCACTTCTCCCCACTAGGCGGATGCACCAGCACCCTCGCCTTCCCCAACAATCCCGCGTCGCTCGAAAGCGCTTCCTCCTCCCACCATTGCGACCGCTGCTTCATCGTATCCGCATCCCCCGCCATGAACACATTGTTCGCAAAAAACGACCCTGTCGGTGACCAAAAGTTGACTTCGCTGATGACGAAGAGGCCGGCGAGCTGAGTTTCGAGATCCGTTGGCGTGAGGAATGTAGGCTGCATACATCTCGTGAACTCAGCGTAGAAAATCTCCGCGTTGGTCGACTTTGGTAGGTAAACCGTCGCTGCGCTCTCGAGACTTGAACCGATCTTTTTCTCAGTACGGAGGCGCTCTTGTGCGATCTTGATGGCTGCGCCCAGCGTGCTAGTTGTCTCGCTCATGGCCTCCAGACTAGCAGATTCAAACGCCGCGAGCGCGGGAAGAGGCGACCACACCGCACGTGCAGGATGAGCACTCTTCTCCTTGAGCCCCTCAGGAACGTGATCCCATACTTCTTCAACAAGCAGCGGACAGACTGGAGCAAGCATCTGCAATAGCTCATAGAAGATGAGACCCAAAACGCGCTGAAGTGTCTCGCAGTCCTTTGTGTCGCCAGTGTACACCCGGTCTTTGAGTGTTTCGAAGTAGAAAGCGCTCAGATCCATGGAAATGTACTTGTTGATTGCGTTGACGCCTTTGAAGAACTCGTATTTGCCGAAGTGGTTGTGTACTTCTGCACTGACTTGTACCAGTCGGTGAACGGCAAGGCGGTCAGTGAGTTCGCTGAAGTCGGCGATGGTGGGCGTGAGCTCATTGAAGGAGGCGAATGGTGGTGGGCAAGATGGTAGGGAGAAAATGCCTAGCAGCCATTTGAAAGTGACGCGGTATTTGTGGAGGGCTTGGTTTACGGACATCAGGACGGGCTGCCCGATTGTGACATCGCGTGTATAGTCGCTGCTTGCGGCCCAGAGGCGGAGAGCATCGGCGCCCATGGAATCGTATGTTGGCGTGTGCTTGGTGGCTGGGTCTTGCTTGACGCCTTTTTGCTTCTTCCGCTTGACGGGAGGAAGGAGTTCACCAGACATGATTTGAGATGGAGAGATGACGTTGCCAAGAGATTTGCTCATCTTACGGCCGTCGGAGTCGAGAGTGAAGCCATGGGTAATCAGAGTCTTGTATGGTGCTTTGACGGTCTCTGTGGAGTAAGGCTGGGTTGCGACGTGGGTAAGGAGTGATGACTGGAACCAGCCGCGGTGTTGGTCAGTGCCTTCAAGGTATACATCGGCAACAGGCTTGTCTTTTTGCTGCGGAAGGAGCTTCCAACTGGTACCACTATCGAACCAGACGTCCATGGTATCTCTACCGCGTACGTATGTTCCGGTGAGATGCTTTGGCTTCCAAGCTGGATCGTCCTGCGCATCCGTCCACCAGGCATTGATACCACGTTCTTTGATTACCTCGATGATATGATCGATGGTCTCAGAGTCCATTGTCGCTTTTAGTGTGTCGCCCTCGACCTTGTACAGGGCGGGGATAGGCACACCCCAAGCACGTTGTCGCGAGATACACCATTGACTCCGTCCCTGAATAAAGCTCTCTAGACGACTTCTACCCGTCTCAGGCATGAAGTTGACGTCGGCAATTGCTTTCATCGACGCGTCCTTAATCCCTTCTACGTTGGCGAACCATTGTTCCGTAGCGCGCGTGATGACAGGTTCCTTCGTTCTCCAGTCGATGGGATATTTGTGGCGGTAGTTTTGCTTGCCCCGAAGCATGTCCAGCGTCTGGAGATAGTTGCATACAGCATTGCTACCCGACTTCTTGATGTCAGCGACAGGTAGACCTTCCAGCAGCTCGGGCTGTTCCGGAAACGCGTCCTTGGTGAAAGCACCAGCATCATCTATGGGAGCAAAAGCTGGAACGTTGAGCGCCATGCATACGTTGTAGTCATCCATACCATGTCCAGGAGCGAGATGCACTAGTCCAGTACCTGAGGAGTCGGTGACGAAGTCGGCATGGATTATAGGCTGTAGTCCATTTGCCTTTTGGAACGGATTCTCGTACTGAACTTGACCGGCTAGATCTGCGCCACGCACATCTGCAAGGACTACTTCGAGCTTCCGCTCAAGAATCTTCTCGTACTCCGCTACTCTTGAAGCTGCGACCAAGATCAGCTCGCCATCTTTCTCAGCATCCTTGACTACGCAGTAGTGCATGTCCTTGTGAACCGCGATCGCCTTGTTCGCGGGCAGGGTCCAGGGTGTGGTCGTCCAGATGGCTACGCTAACTTCACGGTCGACCTCCTTCAAAGCCCCGTTCTTCAAAGCCTCCGAAAGATGTACTGGGTATCGCACAAAAGCAGCTAAGCTCTTGTGACCCTCATCGTACTCCAACTCAGCTTCCGCGAGGGCTGTTCGCGAACTCGGGCTCCAGTAGACGGGTTTGAACTGCCTGTAAATCAAGCCCTTCTCAAACATGCTCTTAAACACTTCCAGCTGTCTGATCTCGAAACCGCGCTCCATCGTCTGATATGCGTTGTCCCAGTCGCCCATGACAGCCCATTCCTTGAAGCCGCGCTTCTGTTCTTCAATCGTCCGAGTCGCCAGTTCGCGCGCAGCGTCACGCACGCTTACAGGGTCGGCTTGCGCCGCATCCTTCTTTTGCGCCTGGAGAGCCTTGATCTCAATGGGTAGACCATGGCAGTCCCAGCCAGGTATATATGACACCTTTTTCCCTTGCCCGACCTGGTGCCTGCAGATGATGTCCTTGGTGATCTTATTCAAGGCATGCCCAATGTGCAATGGCCCATTGGCGTATGGCGGCCCATCATGCAGAGTGAAGGTCTCTTTTGGCGCATTGCCTTCCGCCTCGCCATCCTGTCCATTCAACCGCTTCTCCAGGTGTCCATAACGTACAACGCGTTCGGGGCTCGCCTGCCACGAATACAGGTCATCGGTGCATCGTCGTAGGTAGGTTGGGTTCGTTGACGCTAATGGTCGCGGCGGAAAGCTAGATTTTGGCAGTCGGAGGGTGTTTGACCATGATGCGCGGAGGATGCGTGTTGGGGTTAGCATAATAGC